ATACCATCTTTCCTACCCGGATCTGATCAGATCTTGGAAGCTAGCCTGCTTAGTACTTGGATGAGAAATCACCAAGGAAGTCTAGGGTTGCTATGCTGAGGCAGGCAATGACAAACAACCTCTGTTCATCCCTTGCCTTGAAAACTCTCTGCAGTTGGCTACAACGTGATGGGACTTCCCACCACCAGAACTGCACTGATCAGAAACTACCTTGGTCCTAATCCAATGGAATCCACAGAAATATCAAAGTGTACTATTGACACGACAGCTGACTTTGTAACAAGTATAAAACTGTTGTTTTTTTTAAAGTGGACCTAAGCATTCTTAACTTTGTGCTGGTTTACAGCCACTGACCAAGTTTATGAGATAATCCAGGCTTCTTGCAGGTTCCATTGCATGCCTCCCATCAGCAGTGTAACCATATCATTATGAGACCACACTATCTATCACTGGCTAGGGAAGTTTTGTGTGATAAACTTATATCATGGCATTCATTGCTACTTGAAATAGTTGTGTGAATTGAGTCATATAAAAGTGGCAATCCTAAAGGACAAACATACCAATTTTGAAGCCAACTTGCCACAGCCTGCCCCCCCCCCCCCCCCCGCCCAGCATTTCTGAAAGCACTGGGCTTGATCCAGCCAAAGTTAAGCACTTCTAAGCACTATTGATTTCGACAGAAATGACTGGAGCACCTCTCCTGCCGGACATTAATTGGACACAAACATAGTCACCTTTGGTGGGATCACGTCCATTAGTTTTATTCCGTAATCTGTGAAAATCCTTGGAAATCAACTGTCTAAAGTCCAAATATTTAATTACTGTTAAAATAATTAATATATACTGCCAAACTTGTTTTTACTGGCCAGTAAATAGTAGAGTTGGTTTCCAAATAGTTACAACATATTTATTACACCAAACGAATGGTCCACAGAAATCTAGGCCTAGACAAAGGCTAAGAACATTGGGAAATGTTTTGGAGGAGGGATGGATCTCTCAGGAAAATCCTCATAACAACAAACATAACTGCTTTCAAAGAAAGCCAGGCTTGTGGAATGGAAAAGATTATCCTTTGAGGATATTTCCTTCTTCTTAAAAAAATCACCTAGAAATCTGTGGGAGATTGATGTGTAGCACCATAATTTCCTGATGTGCAAACACTTTGTGCCTGGGGTTTTCAAACATTGTTGAGAGTTAGTCTCCCCAGGACTTGAAAGCAATTTTCCAAGCCTGCTCAAGTGTCCCTAAGGCAAAATTTAGCACAAATAGTCCACCTGGCTGTGCCTGACCTTGTTGTCAGCCTGGGGGAATGGGGCACGCAAGGAAAATGGAGGGAATGGGGCTGTAGGAAACTGAAGCAGGAAGGGAAAAAAACAGGGGAATAAAATAAGTCTTTTTTTTGGGTGGGGATACATAACTTACTGCTGGAGAATTCTAGATTCGAATCCAGTGGCACCTAAGAGGGTTGCCAGCTCTGGTTTTGGAAATACCTAGAGATTTCGGGGTGGAGCTTGGGGAAGGTGGGGAAATACCTGGAGATTTTGGGGGTGGAGGTTGGGGAAGTTGGGGTTTGGGGAGGGGAGGGACTTCAGTGGGGTATAGTGCCATAGAGTTCACCTTCCAGAGCGGCCATTTTCTCCAGGGGGGCTGATCTCTATTGCCTGGAGATCAGATGTAATAGTGGGAGATCTTCAGTCATCACCTGGAGGCTGATAGCGCTAGACCAACAAGATTTTCAGGTCATAAGCTTTCAAGAGTCAAAGCTCTGTTCCTCAGATACAAGACCAGAATGGAGCTTTGAGTCTCAAAAGCTTCTACCTTTGGAACCTTGTTGGTTTTTAAGGCGCTACTGGACTTGAGTTCAGCTCTTCTACTGCAGATCATAATCGTTACCATCCTGAAACATGGTTCTGGAGAATCCTGACCTTAAGAGTACACAACAGTGATAAAATTCAGAAAGGTGTGCCTTGGGTCTCATGGTTTGTAATGGGAATGAAATGCCTCTAAAGGCCACTTCCCACATTAGATTTTATAGGTGTCCACTGTCCACCCAAGAAGTTCTGCTGAGACACACACACACCACCTTTGGGAAATGTCAGAGAGCCTCTCAGGTTTCCCCTGCCTTGGAGTGGCCCATCAAATTTGGCAGAAGCCCGGTAACATTACAAAATAAATATACAAGCCAAAGGTATTACTTGTGATGGAGACAAAATCTCACCACAGCAGTAAATTTGAAATGTGACAGGATATTGATAATGTACACTAAATTACCGCTTTTACAAAAACACTACGCCATCCTAAGCATGCTTCTGGTGAGTTAAGCCGTGTGACAAATGGCACTGCATACGTTGAGCATTGTCCGTGGCAAAATGGATCCATTGCACTTCTTTTTTTAATTATGGGAAAAGAACAACGCTTTTTAGTTTATTAGAAATATGAAGGACCTTGGTGAACTGTTTTGTAAAATACTGAGGACACAATCCATTCCCACATGGGCACAGCAAACTTACACATGTTGTTATGTTCTTTTATGAAGTCAGCTGCCGCAAGAGGGAGAATAGCTGCTATCTTAAATAGCTGTAAGCAGGAATTAGACAAGTCCATGGAGGATGCTAGATCCATTAATGGCCATTAGTCATTGTTCTACATTTCAGAGTAATGGACCTTATAGGGACATCTGATTGGCCATTGTGGGGGAAAGGATGATAGTGGCCGCTCTTCTTATGCATGAAAGATCTGTGTAGCGCTAAAGGCTGCGGTCACACAGAGCATTAGCCACACTACCGAGACGGATGATAGGCAGATTTTCCGGCTGCGATCACACCACAACATCTGGAAAGCGTAGAGCTCCCATGGCGAACCTGAGGCTTCCCGCCGAAGATGCGGAGTTAAAAACTAGTACCTCCAAGGTACTAGTTTCTGGAAAGCGCGGGGCAAGGGCTGGCGTCTGATCGCGTTTCCAGTGGTAGTCCGTGGCATCCGGCGCCCGCCCATGTCCCGTCGCAAACAGTTTTTCCCCCCAAGTCTCCACAGGATGCGCACAAGCACCCAACAGCGCATGCGCACGAAGTGGAAAGCTAAAGTTCCGTTGCTCCGCAGAGTCGCGCATGCCGTTGGTGAGATCGCGCCGCTTCTTTGCTGCGCTGCAGGATCATCGTGTGATTGCCACCTCGCCCCTAACCACGGGACCTCGAGGGGATGTGTGACTGGCCGGCTGCGCGTTCTTTTGCTCCGGGCCAAACTGCCACGCTTCCCCCCCCCCGCATTTTACAGCCCGTGTGACCGGGACCAAAGGCAGCCTCACTTCTCTTGTCAACTCCAGGCCCACTGGAAACAGAAGGTTGTTTGCACACCTCCTTTTCCCCACCCATCCTTTCTCTTACCCAGCTATAAGTCATTCAAGGCATGCTAAGGTGAGAAGGGGGATAGGGAAACGGGATGTGCCTGCGCAGAGGCGGAATGTGTCCCTAAGTTAAAGCACAAACCATGCTAACATGTTGATGGTAAACATGAAATGAGAAAGGTTTCAAGGTGGGAAAAATAACCGAGAAGCACATTTCCTCTTTGTACAATATTAACGAATATATAAAGAGATATATCTTTTCTCTATCTTTAAATGTGAAATAGCTTTATTGTTTTCCTTTTTACTAAATATATATCGTTCTCTTTCTTTCTCCCAAAATACAGTCAACATTTGTCCTTGAAAAATACTGTACAAAAAAAAAAAAGCACGCTCTAAGGATTCTGTATAAACTTTATACATTTTATAATAATCTTTCTTTTGGTCTGCAGAAAACATTAAATGGGTTGGATTAACCACAGCATGACGACACCATCACCTTTTAATATATACCTGCATCTCTTACATTCATTATAATTTTCTTTTTTCTGAACGTCCACTCTCGAGTAGAATAAAAGTTTATAAAACAAACCAAAGCTTAAAAATGACAGACAAAAGTCTGAGAAATGTCAGCTCATGACACGATTAAAACAACATCTTGAGGAAAAAGTGGGATTTGCAAAAGGTGACTTCTAAATCAGTCAGAACATTCTTGGAAAAAATCCCACAAGGGATAAATCCACAGGGGAAAAAACAGATTACAGAAGAGTTACATTAGAAACCTGCATTGAAGTCTTTTACTCTCAAAAGAAAAAAAAAACCAGGACTCTGAGAAATGCAAACATCAAAGGGAAAGGAAAACAATACCCCCTCCCCCCTTCTCAGAATTCAGTGACTAATTTTTTAAAAAAATTTCGGTCTCTTGTCAATTAATTCTCTCATGCTTTTCATGCAAATGTTCTTGGCTCATCCAACAAGGGCATGGAGTACATGATTACACCCCATGAGTGTCACAGGACACATTACTGACCATGCTAATAACCTGTTTGACATATGTGTGTGGGGAGAGAGGAGTTTTCCTGTTCCCATTAACAGGTGATCAAGTGTTTGCACCACTCATCCAGTGCAGCAATCAGTGTATACAGGGCCAGTTCAACCACAAAAGCACAATGAGGCAACTTCCTAGAGTGCCCAAATTCAAGGGTCCCCTCCTCAGCTTTCTCAATCTGGGAGACTATGTAGCTGCCTGAATTTTCGGGGGAGCGCCACGGTGGTGCCATTGCAGCCGATTGGCTCAGTTTATGCCCCCCAAATCCTGGTTAATATAATCGAGAGCCTTCAGATCGCCACTGGCTGCCTGGAGCGCAGATACAGTTGTAAAGTTGCATAAAGAGGAAGGAATGATGTGAGAGACCTTGCCCATGAAAATCATGCCAAGGTCAGCTCTGGAACCTTCAATGTGCTCTCCTTGTGGGCCTCAGCATATAATGAACACCAGGGCTCTAGTCGGGGGGGAGCTCTCAGGTACGGAGCTCCGGAAGAGAACCTCTAGGGGGCGGGGCGGTCACATGGTGAAGCCCCGCCCCCTTCTTTACCCCGCCCTCTGCTTCGATCCTCATTCCGTTGTACAGCAAAAGGTATGGAGCTGGTGCTGTGCATGCAGACCAACCCGCACGGGTCTCTGGAACAGGCTTTTTACCTCGCTGCTCCTCAGAGCAGGCTATCAATGAGTATCACTTCTGTGTTTTTTTAAAAAAAAAACACCATTAAAACATTATAAGGGAAGGGAGTCATCCTATGTCCACTGGCCACATTGTAAGTGACATGCACCAGTGTACGGTAGGATTATTGCTTATGTTCAGGCCGTGCAAAATACTGCACTCCGTTCTCTATCTATCTATTTGGGTCTTACGGTGATGAAAAGAAACATCACAGTTCCTTCTGAGATCTACCCGGAGGGGGACTAGCGACCGCAATGGGGATTGTGAATCTGAAGATACTCATTAACCAAAACCTTAAAAACACAAACATACAAACAAACAAACAAACAAAAGAAGCAGTCTATAAATTAATATTTCCGCAGTATAGCACTAGAATATTGTCTGTGCATATTTGTTAGCAACTTAATTTTTTTTTTGTCTGATTAGCTCTATCTTAAAACATCAGCTTGAAAAACGATCTACCTTTTAGCCCTCCCTTGTTTCTCTTCCATTTCGGCCAGCATTCCTTGTTTGTTTGTTTTCCAAGTTAAATCAAGAAGGCGGTAAAGGAAAAGAAGAGGGGGGGGAAATACCTATTCGAAGCAACACTGAGGAAAAATCGTTTTATATAGAATAAAAAGCTTACTATGGCAGGTCTCAGCAGTCCAAGTAAAAACATCACCCTGCATAGAGGGTTTTTTTAAAAAAAGTAGGACATGCTGAGATGTGCACGCACACACAGACATACATACACACACACACACACACACACAACAAAGTTGTACATTGGTTTTGTTTCTGCTTTTCCGGTAAAGTGCTGACGACTGAAAGGTTGGTTTGGGTGTGGTGCTATCAAACAGGAAACACACTGTCCATATATTCAAAAGCCAACCCACAAAAGGGGGGATAGGGGACAGAAAGGGACCACGCCATTTACAGAGGGCCATGCCGGGCTTCGTATTTGGCCAGCACGTTCTTGCATTTGCCCAGCTCTTTCCGTAAATCTGCCACCTCCTGGCGCAGTGCCGAGTTCTCCTTCTCCAGGAATGAGGCGCGAATGGCAATCTGGTTCTCCTTCAGCCTCCGGGCATCCCTAGAACGCTTGGCAGCCATGTTGTTCTTTCGACGTCTTGCCCAGTATTTGTCATCCTGCTCATTAATCACAATTAGGAAGAAAGGAGACAATTAGATTTCAGCAAAGAAAAGTAAGGCAGTTCCTGCG